CTCTGAGACACTGAGGTACTTCAAGGTATTATACTTCCAACACTCATGAATCACAGTCCATCACTTACCATCAACAGGTGCCTGGTATCGTTCAGACTGAGGATACAATGTGTCTGTACACACTTTCCACAACATTTTGCTGGATCCGTTTTCACATATTCATATCCCTGAGAGAAAGAGGAGAGTTACGTCCCCAAATTCGAAGTGTACACTAGTTCTGAGGAAACACTATGAACAGAACAYGCAGCATTTTCATGTGGACAATAATCAGTTATATTTCTCTTACCGRGTCACAGTTTTCTTGACATTGCRGAYMCRSACAYATTACTTTGAAAAGACCAGTACCAGGGTCCACGGTATTACTACAGGTACAGTCTTGACAAATCTGAACGGGAACTGTAGAACCAGGCTTGCAAACAAAAAGGAAATGTGTTTTTGGCCATCCAGAATTCAAAGTGCAGTGGAATTCATTTGACAAAAAAAGTGATATTTTAACAKATGATTGGACAAATCATCCTCTTATTTCCATTTCTTGTTTACCTGGTACTCAGTCTCTTTGTGGACACAAACTCTTTTAGGCTCTAGAAAYGAATAAGACAACAAACATTACACAAAAATGTCTCTATGGTCATTTTTTATATAAATTCAAACTGAATTTATGAGCTCACCACATTTATGTTCTAAACAGCATTTCCCKTCAGGGACACTGYCGACTGGCAAATATCCAACTGGACACTTCATGTAATTAACTGGGCAAGTGCTGCTTTGACATTCTGTGGAGATGTTAAATGATGATAGTAAATGATAAAGAGCCATCCAGAAGAATCCTTATTATTTTAGAACATGGAAGACAAATGTGCACTGATGCTGACTGTCTTACGGCAAACAAAGTTATAACAGCAGCTGTCGGACGGATTRGTTTGGTTGACAAGGACGAAACCTGGACCAGTACAGTTTGCTYKAGYTGGTTRTGGGCAAACTTTGGGTTTACAGGTCACGGTCTTAGTGGACTCCTCGCAGATGCAGTTTTGGCATTTGTACTCAAACTGCTCATTGAACTGAAAGAAAGAAAGAGCAGAGCAATTATTTGAATTGTGTCTTCRAAGGAAACAATACAGGTTTGGATTTTAGCTGAGCRTGAACAGAAGACTTGGCTCACCTCACGAGGAATACCCTCAGGATCAAGACATCCTGTTGGAAAATAAGCAATCCTGTAGGACTTCATGATTGAAACAACACATTCAGCTCATCAATAAGACTTTGAAGATAATCACMACACCTACCACACTTATCAACACACACGCCAGACTCTTTGTTGAAGAGTTTCATTCCATCTGGACAAAAGCAGCCCTCGGTAGTGAAGTTCATCATTACTTCATTAGGACTGTTATATTTGATCAAGACGACAGATAAGTTAAGTTTCATAATCTCTTCAGATCAATTAAACAGAGTTTAATACTTCTACTGTTGTTAATAACAAATATTGATCACCATATCCCGTTAGGCTCTCACTCWCTGGAATGTGCAGAGTGACCCATAAAAAGACTACAAACCTTTGTTGTTAAAACTTACTTGTCTTCACAGGTGGGCTGTTCTGCAGGACCACATGGCTTGTAAACTTTGTCTGATGGGCAGTCACTTGCTGTTGGTGAAGAAAATAAATCAATTGGTTCTTTAGTATATGCATATGTACGGCAACTAATAAAATACCTAACAGAGTAGTGTGTGTTGAACACAACAAATCCAATGTGATTCCCCAACACTATCAAATTATGACATACCACACAGTTCGGTGTGGTTCCTCCAGTGAAGGCAAACCCCAGCCTGGGCACAGGCAGCAGCATAAGTCTGCAAACTTGTGCACTCCACTGCTGGGTTTGYAACATGACAGCTATCAAAAACACAACCTCGGTAGAAATTCTCAGGGGAAACAACTGGGTGGCACTCTGCAAAGATGCTGTGAAAGTAAAACCAACAAAAACACAAATCTCAAAACTCTTTTGAATATTGATGGAAATATGTCAAAGTTCAAGAATGTTTATGAACGACAGTGTATAACAGAATGCCTACCTGCTTGTAAGCAGGTTGCACATTGTGTCCGGATTGCATGGAGTTAAGGTTGGTGGAGGTGGCGGTACTTTGGTGGGCACCACAGATGGTACCTCACAGCTCGGTTGGTAAATGTCTTTTGCAAGCCAAAAGTCGGCCATCACT